CCATCTCATGTTTTCATGCAAATCAATTCAAGAACCACACTCCTCTCCTCTCTTTTCTTGCTCTCGGCCGAACACAACACACACACACACTCACAAAAATTCATTTCATTCTCTCTAAGTCTTGAAGGACATCTCCTTCTTCCTTCTTCAAAAATTTCGAGAATCAAGAGCTTTTCAAGGAGGTTTTTCCCACAAACACATCATCTAAGGTAAGTTGATGACTAATCCATGATCTAGCTACTTCATTTCATCAAAAATCTCTCCTAAATCTATTCCAACTTGTGATCATGCACCTTAGAAGTCACTAAACTCGAGATCTACCAAGGAGACTTGCTAGGATCGAAATTTTCTTCTTTTCTCTCTTCAAAACCGAAACTACAACTCAAGGTGAGCTTCATACCCCCTTATTTTTTGGTTTTTATAAGTTTTTGTGGGGGAGAATACAAGTAAAGGTGTAGATCCATCATTATGTGTATGTTTTGGTTGATTTCTATGCTTATATGTATGTTTTGTATGATTTTGATGCTAGATCTAGTTATGAATTGCTAAAAACCGAGATATATCTTATACTAGCATGAAATATACTACTACATACAAAGTATACCAAGAAAAATAGCTAAGTGGCTTAACAATACATACTTTGGGCTAAAAACTCATTTTTTTGACATAAATGTTAAAAATACAAAGTTAAAGGGCCCAAAATGAAATATTTCGAAATCTGATGGGTGAGATGAGTCAAAACAGATTCCATAATGTATTTTCTGAAAATATACTCTTTTGGAAGATCAAAAACATAAATTTCAAGCTTAATGGGCTAAAAATGACAATTTCGGCCCAATAGGGCCCATTATGCGAAATTTTCTGTTTTGGAGGGCCAAAACTGTGTTTTCCTGTAAAACAGTGGACTATTAGTGTTACATGTACTTTTCAAAGGTTTAAAACGCTTTTCAAATTTAAAAAGGACCAAAGTTGCAAAAATTTTCCAAATTGGGCCAAAAATGTAAAAATTGCGAAAAAGAGGGGTTATAACCGAGAAAACTGCAATTTCAGGGACTTAAACTGTTTTAAATGAAAAATATGCTGAAAAATATTAATTTCAATAATTTTTGGTGTTAAAATGTCAAGAAAAATGGTTTAAGGACTAAACCGGAAATTATTTTACCTAAAGGGGTGAAAAAGTAAATTTACAAAATTAAGAGGGGTTGTAAACAGAAAATTTTCAAGGGTAATTCAATACACTCGTTGTGAACAAAGATTGACACTACGACTCTCGATAAATTACAATACACAATATCACCAACAATCGTTATCAAACGAATTGATTCGGTCTCGAATCAATAACAAATCCAAAACTACTAACACTATAACGCTCAATACACATATGAAACTCTTGGAACTCTTTACTCTCGTGGAATTACTCAATACGTCGACGTACACTCCTTAGGCCCAAAAGTTGCAAATCATGCTTGTCGAGCCTAGCTAGCCCGATGACATGATCTTTAGGCCCAAAGGACACTTGCTTACATGTAGTTGGGTCTAATGCGACTCGACCGCGTGTAAAAGGACTTTCAATGGCAAACATGCTGCTGGTCCCCAAGGGTCCTTCAGTGCTGCTAGTAAAGTCGGTAACTCACGATTGCGGGTTGGGCTTCGGGCCCTTCGCAATTGCAATGGTCTTGAACGACGCAGGGAAATACCGAGGGTTTCGCACCTTCACTTTTTCTCTCCGGTCGTGGGACTACACAAGTCCGGGAGGATTGAGTTGTGTGAATAAGTGCGAGTGACGCCTAAGGGATCACTAGCACGGTTGCCAATTGGACGTTTTCATTAACGTACGATACAACAATTCACCACCCTCTGTATACTCAATGCCTCCGGAGCTCAACGAATACCTCTAACGTAACGAAATAACAGTACCCAAAATAACTAAAGCAAAGTGATAGGAAAACGTCGGGTTTTCCTAGGGTTTTCAACAAGTACACTTACGAACTACATGTCGAATTTCACAACTCTTACGCTTACATCTATAGAATTCAAACAAGCATACTCACGGATCTTCACATATTTTTACGTTATTCTATTTTCAGAAAATATCGGATTTTCTGGTGATTTTTTTTCAAAACATTACAAACATTGGATTTCAAACATTACTTATGAACTCACCAACATTTCATATGTTGACGTTTTTTCAAAATACTTGTATTCTCAGGTAACAGATAAAGTGAAGGATGAATTGTACTCTATGACGTTTTGCTGTGGTTTAATTTAGTATCGAACAGTTACTTTTGAGAATGTAATGTTTTGGAACAATGTAATGGATGTAAACGCTACCAGTTGTATCATTCCAAATGTTGGTGATGTATAATGTTATGTTTCATGTATATTCATTGTGATGGTATTCAATTGAGTCACGACAGCCCCCGGACGTTTCCGCCGTCTGGTTCGGGGGTGTGACAACTGATCTATAATCACCCATATCGTATCGACACCTTGTGCGGTCGTCAGTAATTTGGTGATAAAATCCATGTAAATCTGTTCCCACTTTCACTGGGGAATCTCTAAAGGCTGCAATGGGCCATGTGGACGTTGGTGCTCCGCCTTGACATGGCGACATGTCAAACATCTCTCGACTACCCATGCCACATCTCTCTTCATACAGGGACACCAATAATCCCTTTTCAAGTCAAAATACATCTTGGTGGCTCCCGAATGGATCGAGAACCTTGACCTATGGGCCTCCTCCATTAAAATATGTCGAGCTCCACCCGTATATGGCACCCATATCCGCCCACGGAAGGTCATAAGCCCCAGACTATCCATCCCAGACTCAGAAATCTGCCCGATCACCCTATCTCTTATGGTTCTCTGGTCTCACGACCACCACATGGGTCTCTCGGATGGTATCTAAGACTGGAGTCATCACCGTCATCCGCATGCACACGTCTCGGATTAGAGCACTCACTGCTCGACAACTCAGGGTGTCGGCTACCACATTAGCCTTGCCAGGGTGATACAAAAACTCACAGTTATAGTCTTTCACTACATCCAACCATATCCTATGTCTCATATTCAGGTTGGGCTGATCCATAAGGTACTTCAAGCTCTTATGGTCTGTGTATATGGTACACCGGACACCATAAAGTTAGTGATGTCAAATCTTAAGGGCAAACACCACCGACCCCAGCTCTAAATCATGGTTGGGATACCTCGTCTCGTGAGGCTTTAACTACCTCGATGTATATGCTATCATGTGTCCCCTCTGCATTAGCATTGCTCCCATCCCTGATATAGATGCATCATAGTAAACTACAAAGTTATCCACTCCCTCGGGAAGGGCTAACACTGGATCTTCGCATAATCTCTGGCGAAGAGTCTCGAATGAGGCCTGCTGCTTGCCCCCCAAGCAAAAGTAACACCCTTCCTGGTCAATCTGGTAAGAGGAATGAAAATCTTAGAGAAATCCCTGATAAATCTCTGGTAATAGCCTGCCAGACCAAGAAAACTCCTGATATCGGATGGGGACCTCGGCACCTCCCATCGCATAATTGCCTTAATCTTGTGGGCCCTTGTGTTAGGCTTGTCACTTGGACTTGAGAGTTCGGCCTCAAGAGAGCCCATTCATTATTGGGCCTTGGTGGGACCAATGAGTTTTAGGTTATTGATGGGATAGTTAGTGGACTACCTTTAGACCTAAAGAGTGAGGATTTAGACTTAGATCTTAATGGGGTAATTGTGGATTTTGGTCCAGTGTTAGAGGTCAGTGCAGCAGCAACATCTATAGGAATTATTCATCATCTGAGGTGAGTCTTCTCACTATACATACCTAGAGTGGTAATCTGAGTTGTGTGACCGGATGGTCTTATGTGTTTATATTGAGTATTGTGATATCGTGCATTATGTCTTTGTGATTTATGTTGTGTATTATTTTGAGCTTACTGAGTTAGGACCGGAGGGTCTACCCGAGCTGTAGGACCGGAGGGTCCCACTAAGACACATTAACTAGAGGGTCTTATTGAGTTATAGCCTCGAGTGACTAATGAGCTGTGTGTGGTATTTTGGGGAACTCACTAAGCTTCGTGCTTAACGTGTTATGTATTATGTGTTTCAGGTTCTTCATAGGATCGCGAGAAGGCGCCGGTTTGATTGTACACACGATAGAAAGAGTTATGTTTTGAGGATCTTGGGTTATTAATCAAACAATTGTGGTGTTGCGTTTTGTTAATGAGATAATTGGGGTTTTTGTGAAATGTGTTATGAGAATTTTTGTGATCTTAAAAGTTTGAAAATTTACGGTGTTACATGAAAATAAAATAATGCTTGAATCCACTAAGACTTGTGCCTGGGAAGTTGAGAGGTCATAGTGAACAAGTTCAAACACACAACTAGTTTTGGTACTTTATAAGCTAAAAATAAATGATAGTATTTTTATAATTGACATACATGAAATAAGAAAAAAAATATGACTTGAATTAGAAATAAAGTTTTGCATCATAGTTTTCTTTGTAATTCATAATTGTAAGCAATCTACAAATGCAGTTAAACAACTTTCATCACGTACTTAATAATACATCTTTTTAACGGAAAATCTAGTCTAGTATAAATTTTACCTATGAACCAGACAAGACTTGAACCCCCATTGGTCTCATGGAAAAAGGATTTTTACAAAATTCAAGAGTGAGGTGCATATTAATTTATACTTGGTCTAAGAGATCGTGGACAAATATTTTACAAACTATTACATGACTCAAACTCGAGCAAACTACAAATGTTCACAACAAGAGTTAATAAGGAAGAACCTGAGAAAATCACTTAAACTACATATGAACAACTTTTCTGAAGACAAAGAAGAAACTGGAATTAAAAAAAAAAAAAAAGGTATAGACTCAGACCACGCACAATGAAGACAACAAATGAAATGTTAATAACATTTTTATGAGAAATCATGCTGATTTCAAACAACTGAGACTATAAGAAGCACCATCCAGGTGGCCTAACGGTGATCACTTGAGAGAAAACACTTCAAAAGGAGGAGTTCCCCCATATTCGACTTCAACTTTGGGGTGACCTACTATTATAAAAAAAAAAGAGAAAAAAGAAGCACCTTACAAACTTAGCGTGGTTCGTTTTCTTGAAAAGCCATTTCTGTAATACCCGAGTAAGATTCCCATTCGTTAGTACTATATGGAATTAACGGGACATCATAAAGATCAGATTGCTCCCCTTCTATGATTAAGCTTCTTGATTCTTCGGGTGTT